AATACAAGATTTCAAGTTCAAGAATGAAATCTTTTCGGCGCCAAGTCATCCGTTAATTATAATACTACAAGTATTAATTGTATAATTATGTGTATATATATACATATATGTGCGAATGTGTGCATGTGTGTATACATACATAGATAAACACATACGCACAAACATACATATATTTATGTATATATGTATAATATATATTCAGCATCACAGTAAGATAGCGCCCTTCATTATTTAAGTGATCCTCGATCTGTGTTTCGGACCTGTTTTATATTCATTCCAGTTAACAACATACATTACAACAATCCGTTTAAACATCATCGAATAATTTCTTTTCGCATCGACAATCGATGCAATTATTCTTATTATAGTATTCGATTCGTATCGTGTTCATAAAAGTACACCTGTACACAGGGATAAGCATTGGAGAAATAAAATCGTAGAAAGGTACTGTGTGCTCGATAAAAGCGATTAATCAATGACTCCGCCTAGTATCATGCGTACGTACCAGCGTGTATCGATATTTTTTTGCAAAATACTGTCATCAAAATAAAGCGATATAACGTAATAATCCGTAATTGAAAAAAACGAACGCGGTAAAATTTGCTGAAGAAAAAAAATTGACAACAGTTCTTCTCCTTCAGTTTCTGACACACACGGAAACGAATGACGCGTACTGTTCACTGCTGAAAAGAAATACCGCGAAAGGAATGCGGTTTCTGATTGGTCAAAGTAGAAGGGGAACGCCTATTTTGACACGAATTTTTGTTTCTAGCACGTTTCTATTATTTATTAATATGGACATATATATTAATCCGATTGATAGAAAAAAGTAATTCTATTGAAAGGATGAAATGCAATCTCTTCAAATAATCGAAAATAATTATATCTTATTTATACAATTACCTTCTATTCACAATTTTTAATAGCAAGAGAAATCTCTTATAGTGTGCGATATTAGGAGACTAAACGCGTGATCTCCGAGAACGTTGAGTGGATAGGCGAGAGTGGGGATAGGCGAAGAACCCCTCTTGCCTCTGTGCCGCTACGCGAGAGTTCTTTTCAGCGATAAACAATACTTATTTCGGAAGAAAAAATTATTTGTACGTTGTCGCGAAAAACATGGAGGAACTTCGTACAAATATGTATCGTTTCCCATTTCGCGATCAAAACTTAACGAGTTATCGTAATTTATTCCATGATATACTGTGAAACACACCGTTACGAATTATAATGTCCAATATTGTGTACTACGTTTCGGTAGACTATCTACGTTTGATCTGTTCTATCTATCGAGTGGCGAAAGAATAATTCTAATAGTAGATACTTATAATTACTCTGAAAATAAATAGTTATAAAAATAAGCGAGCATTTTATGCTTAAAATACCTTAGGTAAAAACTTAATTAGTTTGCACCACGTACGGAGTGGAATGTGTGGTCTCTCTTACTAGATTGTAAAAGCGTACGTCTAACAGAAGGTTTAACTACCGTGTAAAAAACATTAACGACAACTTGTTAGTTGTAATAATTCGAAGTGCGACAGTTCGATAAAAACACGTGGGTCAATAAATAAGGGTGCAACAAGAGATTAGAAATAGGATAAAAGACGAGATCGAAACTGGATCGATTCCGTCGATAATTGTCGTTACTTGTCGTAGAATAAATAACTGTGCTGAGAATCTGATCTCCTCGCGAAGATACATTAGGTACATTGTTCGATTCGTCTTTCTATTTCCGCCCAATGACCGTCTGGCCCCACATTCTCTTTCCTATTATTTCAATCCTCCCCCGACCCATATACATATACATATACTCACAGCTCTACGTACCGTGGAAGAGAAAAGACATTTTTTACACGTAAATATATCTTCATCGCGAAAATACAAAACGCAAGCACTCACGATTTCGATATTTAACTTAAAATCGAGAAAATCTTTTTTGTACTCTTCTATAAATTTTTTTCGCATCTACTTTTCACTTACATCTAATGACGATAATACGTCCCAAGGATCACGCGAACGTATTTCGTAAGGATTCGCGCGATAATCGAGCGTCGGAATCGTTCCGCTAAACAAAAATGCATGAGAGATAGTTTAAACGGAAACAAATTCATCATCATATCATCTGCATATCCCAACAAATCCACTGAATATGCGAGAATCTTGAATCAGAAATTCACTCGAAACAGAAAGAAACCGTGAGAAAAGATTGAAATTTCAACGATACATGGAATACATTTCAGTATATGCATTCGCACGTTACGGACTTTTCCGACCTAAACGAATCCAGTGGCACTACTGCTGTTCAATATTTTACGATACCGAAACGTCGGTCGAAAATCTTATACTATTCGCGACGTGTCCTCTTTGGACGCTGACTAACTCCAACCTCATCGGTACCACGAGATTTTTTGCCAATTTGTACCTGGCTCTGTGCGGTTAATTGCAATGAAATCGCATGCGTGTTTAATTTCTCAGCCAGCAACAAGTCCTTTAAACCTTTCATCTTCTGACTGTATAATGTTATCCTTGGTCTTTCATGTTCAGAATCAGTTTCATCCTCAGGATCAAGATTCTCCTGAGAAGTGGAAGGTGCGGGAGGCAAAGTACCATCTGACGGAGCAACGAACGGTTCTCCGCCACCTTGTAATAGATAATCTCTGTTAAGTATCTTTTCGCTACATGCTGCAGTCAACGCTTGAATACTAGGATGCATCGGTGCTGGATTAGACGGCACTTTTGATTCTAAACTTTTGATCAAATCGCGGGCTGCATTGCCTCTTTCTTTAGTTTTACAATAATTGTTGTTATTATTGTTTAATGTTTCTTCTGGACTGGTCTCTCTCTTTTGTGATTTCTCCTCTTCCTGTTTCGCTTCTACATCGTAACACTCGATAATTACCTGAGCGCGAATACTGGCATCAAATTTTGAAATAGTGTTTACCAATGGTCGTGCCCATCCTATGTGTAAAACGGGTGTGTTCGCTCCTTCCTCCCATTGACAAATACCATCGTAAAACCTCAACAAATAAGCGAAACAACGTGGTTGTCGTAACAAACGTTCATCAGCTCGTACCGTATGCGGTATAAGTTCATTCGCTATTTCTAATAATTCTTTGTATATTTCTCCATCATCTCTTGAATAGTCATACCTATTGAATATTAGAATATAGATATAATTTTTGATTACAAATTCCATAATTTATTCAATTTAATTTATTTAACTTAATTTTTTGACTTACTTTCTTAAAACATCTGCTGCATCTGCCCATGATGACAATGCGTTGGCATGTAATCCATGCCTATATAAATAACCACCTTGATAAGTATATGGATAGACATGAGCATTTCCGTAATATTTTCTTGCAGAACGAATTGCTTCCTAAAATGGATAAAAGATGCATTAAATTAAAATAAAAAAGTATAATATGCAAATATGGTTTCTAGATAACATACCTGAAAGAGATCTATAGCAGGAGGCCTGCCTGGAGTTGGTGCTGCTTCTTCAAGATCTCCAAGATTACCAAGAGCCATAGGATATTTAGCAAGATGACCCAAATCATATAACAACCATAATAATTCTTGTTGAAGTAATGCTACTTCAGCTGCATCTGAAGTTGCACTTAAACTAGGATTTATAGCAGATACTATAGTAGCAACTTCCATAGCTCTAGAACATACAACAGCTTGTCCATTCACATATAACCATGATCGAGAGGCTACTCCAGGTTCAACTGGTTGACCACGTTTATCCTCATTTCCTTTTCCTAATAATAGTAAATAAAAATAAAATAATAAAATAAAATAGTAAAATTGATTTTATTTATTCATTATTAGATTTAAAATCTTTAAACCAACACTTACCATGCCAGGTAACTTCAGCAGTTTCAGTTCCATTTTCACCATAAACTACCCAAGCATGATCTTCAGACATAGCCAAATGTACATCTTTAAATCCCAACACTTGACAGCCAGCAACCACTGCAAAGGCTACTCCGAAACAATCTAATTTATTTGATGTGAGGTAGCTGTAGAGACTTTGTAAGTGTGCACGATCTTTGTAGTAGCTTCTGGTAAGAGAGTTCCAAATAACGTCTGACACTTTTTTAACGAGCTCTCGAGTTGCATATTTCGTATCATAAACTGTAAGATCAACTGCACCCTTAATCACTGCATGAAACTTGGTGTAAAGAGCTTCGGCAATGTGAAACTCAACGGCCGGTAATTTCGGTTCGTCATAAACAGTGGTCTCCTGCGACGCAAATGTTCGATTACAGGTTAGGGAATTTTCAACTGCGCCGACGAGAATTGAGAGTAAAGCCAAGTCCGGTTCTGAGCTATTTTGTAATTGATTTTGGAAGATTCGTACAATTGAGGAGATGCTCTGAATAGGAAATAGAGCTTTATCCTCGTCTCGAAAACCCGCCATGTCGCGACTGGCAGGCTGCACACACGAGATCGAGATCTTTGCTCAAACCACGAGTGTCATCCTGTTTCACATTTATCTTGACAGAAACTCTCGACGAAATCGCACGATCTGTTTTGTTTTCTTTTCTTTGACTAACGATGTACGCTAGTCAATGTTGATTTTTTTCTTCTCAATGCGAAACTTTTACATTTCCGCATCACAAAATGAATCACAACCGCGTATCATCCAGCGGCGCGCCGCCACTAGGACCGTTTACAATGATGCTTTCGTTCTACAGTTCGACAAAGCAAGAAGGCGAGTTTCTGTGTGAACGATAACGACTGACATGAACATAAACGCGCGCGTTTTATGTTCTAGAATTTTCTAACATATCCATGCAAATATGCATTTATCTTTATATTTATAAGCTCTTCAATATTATTTATCTTTAATTTTTTTATACTTCAATACTTATTTTTAAAATTAACATTTAAAAATTTTAAAACTATTAAAATTTATATGTTTTTACGATTTTAAAGATTTCAAAATTTCTACGTAAGAATATTTAAATTTAATAGATGTCATTTAATATATATATATACATGTATGTAAAAAAAAAAGAAAAATATTGATACATATATAAATTTATAAATATATTATGATTATATATACAATTAAAGATTAATTTATAACATAAAAATAATCAAAAGACACAAGATGGCGCAATAAGCACAAATAGATATCACATTCGTTAAGACATTTACATTCTCACGTCATCTTTCATAGGTTAGAAACAGTTTTTCTTCAGTGATTTAAGAAACATCAGTATAAATTTTTTATAGTGTTCATCTTACAATATAAGATTCATCGATTAAGACTATTCATAATAAATCATTCAAGCGTTATAGAAAATGAAAGTTACGATAAAAAGTGAGTACTGAAATTGGAATCTTCAAATATACTTTATCATATATTTTCCTTATTCTTGTATTATTGATAAACAGGAACATAAAATAGACTTATATTTTTATATTTCTTTTTTATTTTACCTCATTATTTATACTTAATATATATGTTTGAATTACGAATCGTAATGTATAAAAGTTAAACATTTGTAAATAATTTTTTAAGGTTGGACTGGTGTTGCCACCTGGCGTTGGATAGCGAATGATGACAATTGTGGTATATGTAGAATGCCTTTTGATGCCAGTTGTCCTGATTGTAAAATTCCAGGAGATGATTGTCCTTTAGGTAAGTTAAATTTTTTTAATTATTCAATATTGAATTCAACATTTGAATGAGATCAATAAGTGCATACTTTTCAAGCAATCAACAATATCAAAATATAAATAGATATTTATTGGCTAAAAAATGCTAAGAAATAAATGAGTAAAATGATCAATTGGTATATTATATTATAATTTATTTTTTACAATAAGTAATGAAATTAGTAAATAAAATTATTGTGAAGAAATAAGAAATAAAAGAAACATGTATAAGTAATTCATTCGATAAAGTCATGGAACAATTTGTAAAATGCCGCGACAGCGTTTGCGCAGCTGCAGACTGTAATTATCGATCGGTTTGCCGAATGAAACGGATTGCTCGCACACGACACCCCATGTTCTGACGCGCGCGTACTCGCGCGTGTCAATGTAAACTGAACAAAATCTGGTTGCCGGTTATTAGCGGGAGCATAAGGTGCGCGTGCCTAGTTAACTAACCGAAAAAGTTCATAACCATAAACACGTTCCGATATTGTTCCAGTTTGGGGCCAATGCTCACATTGCTTCCACATACACTGCATCATGAAGTGGTTGCATTCCCAACAAACCAGTCATCTCTGTCCGATGTGTCGTCAAGAATGGAAGTTCAAGGAGTAGCTGGTTTGCCGATAGTCCCGCAGGTGTCAGCACGCAACGAATAATCAGGTAATGTGCATTGTGCGTTGCGTATACTGAGAAAATTTTGTTTGAAACAAACGGTTTTATCGATTCCTATTCGACGGAAACGTTAGTAGAATTCTCATTGTTTCTTGGCATTCTACATGTATTCTTACATATTCTCTTCAACCTTTCTCTGTCTAGTTAAATTTTATATAATAAAATATGAAAGTGAGATAGAATTGCTTAGAAATAAATTACATCATATACATTTCTCTTGAGAAAATTTGCCCGCACTCATTTCTATGACTTCGCTTTTATTCTGAAAAGCTTGTTTAAAACTCGAGGTCTGACCTCGATCTTTCCGTTTGAATCGAGAGGTATTTTTTGTTTGCATTGCAAATATCGATCGACAAAGTTCGATGAAATCATTTCCAGAAAATTTGAAACGAAAAGTATAACTAAAATATTTTGATGGAATATATGATGTAGATTGCATTGAACTGTTTGTTGAACAGATAACGGTGCATTTTATTGTAATAGATTCTTGTGCGCACTTACGTAACAATATTTCATCGCAATGCGATATCATCAAAGAAATTTTTTTCAGTTATATGATATTTGATATTATTTGATTCATAATTTATGATTCGCGCGTCTTTAACGAATTTACTTATGATGAACAATGTTATTTAACTTCATTTAATATTATTAAATATAAGTATATCTTTGCGGGATATTTAGACAATCGAATCGTACAAATTTGATCGATAAATTTATCAATCTATTTTTTTCTTTATTGTGCAGCAAGCGCAAATTTATCAATAATTAGCTCCTATGGGATATAATGTTACGATGCAAACGCGATGATTTGAGCTCCTACCAAAAGAATTGAGGTGAAAGTAGAACAAGTAGCTTTTGTGTACGTCGGGAAACAGAGTGTGAACGAAATTCAAACGTATATATTTGCGTAGTCATTGCATGGCGATGATTTTTTTAAATATATTTCGAATAAAATTATGATTTAAACCCATAATATTTAAGAATATTGTATCGATTTGTTTAATTCAGCACTTTAGATTAGAAAGGATGGTATTATCATATATCTGCCTATTCACTTTAAAATTTGCAACTATTCACTATTGAGAAGTTATTTTATGACAATTCAAAAAGTCTTAATTATTTCTTTTCCATTTATTTTTTCTCCATTTCACTATCAATTGCATCGTTTTTTTTTCTTTTCTTTCATTTTTAAAAAAAAATCTTGCTAAAACATTTAATGTCTCGATTTAAATGAAGAGAAGAAATATGCATCTATTATATTTTCAACGATCAGTAACGAAAGAATTACGAAAATTCTACATATATATATATGTATATATATTGTTTTTTCTTAATATACTGCAGATCCATTCATCGATTCACTTCGTTGCACTACTTTCTTTCTCTACTTTGCTTCTTTTTTCGATACTCTGCAAAGGTGTATTTATCTCTCGCAATTACTTGTTTCCTCCGCGTTTCCTTCGACCCATTCCGCGCTCTAACTATATATCGTTTTGGCTTACTCATCCTTTTTCCTCGTATCGTTTGCGTTCACATCTTTTCCTCCGTGTCTCTCTTGCATAGCACGCGTAATTGTACACGTATACACACGCGTCGATCACTCTCGTCCTGCTTTTTACACTCCCTCTTTTACCTCTCTAACCCCTCGAATCCCACTGCCTGATTCCCCTACTCATAATTCCCTTCTCTTTCTATCATATACAAACAGACATATACGAACGACGAGGTCCATTCGTTTGTTCACGAATAACGACAGATTCGAAGTACTTTAAATCTATCTATTATTCCGATCACTTTTGAACGATTTAGATGGCTAAAATTTTTTTCAAAGAAAAAAAATTAATTAGATCTAAACATAATTAATTTCGTTACATTCTTTATATAGTATAATTCTATCATTTTTTCTTTCTCGTGTAAATTTGTGAAAATCGCGTTGATAAGTTCAAATCTGTCAGTCTTTCCAGCATGTCCTTTTGCCAATATACCAATACACTGGCGCGTACCATCGAACACACGTATATGCGATCGGGAGAGATAGGCACAAAGGTTCAGCGTAGCACGTCCACTGCCTACTCGAGAACTCGGGCTAGAGCTCGAGCTCTCGAGCCCAGTCACGTGGTTCCTCGAACACGAAGGATGTTTGTCGGGATCGCGAAGTCAGTTAGCTGTGGTCCGTTCAGCGGGCAACAGAGAGAGAAACGGATTATAGAACGTGCTATTGCTTGTGGACCATTCGACGGACCATAGAGGGGAAAGAAGGGTTCAGGGGACATAACATAGGAGACGATAACGGATCGAGGATACCACGGACCGAGTTTCTTCAACCGAGTCCTCGCCGGTCTAACGTGTCACCTTCTCCTCGCCTCACCTCGTCTCACCTCACGAAGCCTCACCTAACCTCACTATACCTCACCCCACTTCACCTCAACTCACCTCACCGCACTATACCTCACCTCGCCTCACCTCATCTCACCTAAGCTTACCCTACCTCGCTTCACCTCGTCTCACTTCACCTCACCTCACCTCACCTCTCCTCCTCTCACTTCACCTCGTCCCACCTCGCTACAATTCGCCTCAACTCGCTTCAACACGACTCGCTTCACATCGCGGCAACGTTTCGCGCTTGTTTCGCGTTTAAATAATCGAGCGTCTTTGAAAATGTCGCGCGTTCCACAAATCGAACCAGTGTTATTCCGTGAAACTGTGAATCACGAAAACTCGTATCATCGATGATTAATTGTTAAATTATTTATTGGTGTTTTTTTTTTTCGAGAAAACGTACAGTTATCGTTCGTATACATCGATATAAAAAGAAAGAGGAAGAAAACAAGCAATGGAATAAAATTCGAAGGGGATAAAATTGAAGCGAAAGAGAAACTACGAATAAACATCTATGCTGCATTGGCGCATCTGCCTTCATCGCGTATCGCGTCAATGTTGTTCGCGTGGCGAACATCAACATCCATGGAACGCAAAAACGTGACGCGGATCATTCGATGAGCAATTTAATTGTTTAATTTCAAATTGCAACTTATCGATCGAGAAGAATAACAACTCCCGGTTTAATTGTCTTCGTTAATTATAACTTATTGAATATATACTTTCAACTTTTAATCACGAATCACGCTTATCATTTATCGTATAGATATGTATCAATCGAGAAACCGGAGATAATCGAGATTATCGTTATCACGATATAACCTCGTTTCCAGGCTTGAGTGTTCGGATATAAATTCGAAATGTTCGCTGAACGATGAATATATAAATAGAGAGAAAGAGAGAGAGAGAGAGAGAGAGAGAGAGAGAGAGAGAGAAAGAGAGATCGGTGAATTTGAAGCGATCACGAGCAAAATGCAATTGGCAGCGACGCAGAGGCCTCACCCACCACCAGTGCCGCCACGACCCAGTCGGCAGGTAGTCGCAGAAGCCCTTAAAAGATCACC